ACCAAACCCTCCCCCGCATCTTCTGATGTCTCCTTCCTCAACGAGCTCAACAACTTTTATGCTCGTTTTGAGCGAGGGAACCCCACAACCACAACCAAAGCAGATGTGACGCCAGACCACCAACCTCTGACTGTCTTCCCCACCGATGTAGGAGCGGTGCTGAGCAGGATCAATGTCCACAAGGCTGCAGGTCCTGATGGCATCCCCGGGTGTGTTCTCAGAGCGTGTTCTGGGGAGCTTGCAGGAGTGCTGACAGACATATTCAACCTGTCCTTGGCCCACGCTGTGGTACCGGCCTGCTTCAGATCCACCTCCATCATCCCGATACCCAAAAACTCCAACCCATCTTGCCTCAATGACTACTGCCCAGTAGCCCTCACCCCCATCATCACTAAGTGCTTAGAGCAGCTGGTCCAGCACACTTCAAATCCTGTCTCCCCCCCACCCTGGACCCCCACCAATTCGCATACCGCCAGAACAGGAGCACAGAGGATGTAGTCTCCATTGCACTGCACTCTGTCCTCTCACACCTGGACAACAACAACACCTACGCCAGAATGCTGTTTATAGACTTCAGTTCAGCATTCAATACAATCCACCCCTCACAACTCATCAGGAAACTGACAGACCTGGGCATCAGTTCCCTCATCTGCAAATGGTTACTGGACTTCCTGACCAGCTGCCCCCAACATGTCCGGCTGGATAACCACTGCTCATCTACCATCACAATGAACACCGGTGTACCACAAGGCTGTGTGATGAGCCCTTTCCTCTACTCCCTCTTCACCCACGACTGCTGACCTGCTGATGGTTCCAACACCATCATTAAGTTTGCAGATGACACCACGTTGATTGGCCTCATCAGTGACAACGATGAGGCCGCCTACAGGGAGGAGGTGGATCGTCTGGCTGAGTGGTGCGACACAAACAACCTGCTGCTTAACACCGAGAAGACTAAGGAGCTCATCGTAGACTACAGGAGGAATGCTGACCCACATCCACCCATCCACATTAAGGGGATGACTGTGGAGCGTGTGAGCAGCTTCAAGTTCCTGGGAGTCCACATCTCCGAGGATCTCACCTGGACGACCAACTGCTCCAAGCGGGTCAAGAAGGCTCACCAGCGCCTCTTCTTCTTGAGGACTCTGAGGAAGAATCACCTGTCCTCAGACATCCTGGTGAACTTCTATCGTTGCACCATCGAGAGCATCCTGACCAACTGTATAACAGTCTGGTACGGGAACTGCTCTGCCTCGGACCGGAAGGCGTTGCAGAGGGTCGTGAAAACTGCCCAGCACATCACCGGAGCACCACTTCCTGCCATAAAAGACATCTACAGGAAGCGGTGTCTGAAAAGGGCTGGGAAAATCATCAGAGACCCCAGTCACCCATCACATGGACTCTTCACCCTCCTGCCCCCTGGGAGGCGCTACAGGAGCCTCCGGACTAAGACCACCAGGTACCGGAACAGCTTCTTCCCCACAGTTGTCAGACTCCTGAACTCTGCCTCCTGACATCTGACCCACGTTAACACATGGACTGAACATACACACACCCACAATGGACAACTGTACCCTCAAACACACAATAATAACATGGACTGAACCACCACTCACAACCACTAGCACTTTATATAGCCTCTGTAGAAATTATCCACACCCTCACTTATCTTAACTGCACTACTGTATAGCTGTGTAAATAATCTTTCTGTACATACGATAATTTTTAACCCTACAACTGTTTACGACTTGCATAGTTCCCATTTCTGTATAACTGTATATCTCAGATTTCTGCAAAGTTATTTATTTCATATTCTGTATAGTTTTTCATATTTATATCCTGTTCATATCTTGTACATAGCTTGTACTCACTACAGCCTGTACATACCTATAGTTATAGAATATTCACAACATACTTCATACCGTGTACATTATAACATACCATAATAGACCCATTTCTGTAATATACTTACATATCTATATTATTGCTAATATATATTGTAATATATAGGGATGGGTACCGGTGTCCGGTGCCATGATGGCACCGGTTCTGACATAAACGGTAGTAACCAGACCGAAAAGCAGCGCACATTTCGGTGCTTTATTTCGGTGCTTTTTTTTCCTGAGCTGTGATACACTTCTAGCCAATCATTTTACATTTCCGAGGATAGTAGGCGGGTCCAGGTACGTACGTTCTTTTAGAGCAGAGCTACAGATTAAAAATGCCCAAGGCGAAGCGGTCAAAAGTCTGGCTGTACTTCACAGCAAAATATGCAAACTCAGCAGCCTGCAACAAGTGCTTTAAGCTGATACTGTGATAGTGTCAAAGGAAGTAACACCTCGAATCCGATGAAACACCTGGCGACGCATAGCGGCTTTTTTAAAAGCCGAGAAATGCGCCGTATTTGATAGCTTGCTGCGAGACCCCACACCGAGCGCATCTACTGCGGGTGTGGTGCATGTTATCAGACCCGGAGTTAGCAACATCCCCAAAAACACGAAGAGGAGAGTCCTGGTCCCTAGCCCTGCCAGTGTAGCAGAAATGATGACGGATGATGATGGCAGCAGCAGCTGTTCTTCTCTGCGTGAGTAGCTTAATGTTGTTCGTGTGTAATTTACGTTGAGTAGGCTAACCACGTTATTACATTAATGCAGGTAAGGTGAACTAGCAAACATCATCATAGCTACATGCGGCTGTCTTCTTGTTTGATGGCAGATACTCCCTTCACCCTGGCCAAAAAGGCTAAAATGACCAAAGAAAAAGAGGGAAACGGCTAAACATGAGAGGTTTTTGGATAAAGTTTGTGTTTTTTGCATTGTTTAAGCACTGCTTCCAGCCAAGAGTGATACCATATATGCCCCATAGCCGCAGAAAAGGCTAACATTGTTATCTTTTTACAAAAACCAGCTGAACATGAGAGGTTTTTGGACCAATTTTGTGTTCTCCATTCTTTAAGCACCGGTTTGAGCACCGTTTGAGCACCGGCACCGTTTCAAAAGTACCGATTTGGCACCGGTAATGGATAAAACCTAAACGATACCCATCCCTAGTAATATATCTATATCACTAAAGCACCTCTGAATGGATGCAAACTGCATTTCGTTGCCCTGTACCTGTGCATGTGCAATGACAATACAGTTGAATTCTATTCTATTCTATTCTAAATATCAACAAATGAAGAAATCAGGAATTGGGCAAATACTTTTTCTCAGCACTGCAGATGGCTATCCTAACTGAAAGTTATCTCTGTGTACTCTTCTGGTTGTTATTTTTTATTATAAGACCTGTGAGTAAAAACCATTGAGGACTTGTAGTGATTCTAATGATCCAACCGTAAAGTGAAGCACGCTTGTTTACAAAGCTGCACACCCAGTGACACGTTTAAAAGGTGCATTTTAATTAGTGCATTTGGTGTGAAAAAGTAACGGATTATAGATTTAACATAATCTTAAGTATTCAGGCAAAAAAGGATCAATTCATCCTTCAGAGAAACTGAAGCTCACTGATAATTCTCCACACAAATTAGCTTAAACCTTAATCATGTCCTAAATGAGACACAGCAGCCGGGGTCTTTATGCTAAATCCAGGGACACAAACTGCTGCACAATCCAACAACATATCTGTTTGTCCTCCACTGGCACAGCCTTACCTGAGACATCATTTTGCCAGTTATAAATAGCCAATGTAATCAGAAAAACTGGCATCACATTTGCACAGTTTGTGCTGTTGGCTCGCCGTTTCTTGCTCTGGCTAATCCTAAATTGCTTGCTGGTGATGCCAGATGGCTCGCCAGAGTTCAAAGCTGAGACAGAGAGTGATGGAGGGCTTTCTAGATGCAAGCTGAACAGAAAAGCAATATAGTTACCATCGGTGTTCATTTATCCTGCAAGAGAAATCACATCTGATACAAAAAGGTCAAACACTGAGAATTAAAGAGTTTTATTTCAAGCGTGAAAGGACTCCCCCGATGAGTTATGAACGCTGGAAAACCACACTCAGTGTTTTACAATAACTTCAATTATCTCTAATGGTTTGTGCGTAAGATCAAATTAAATCCAAGTGTAGTAGATCACATCCTAATCTTTGAAATTTTATGAACAATAAAATTCAGGTAATAGCTTTTCCCCCAGAGACTGGGTACAGTATCTCTCTCAACTGTAATGACTTTGGTTTAAGCGAAGTATGAGTGAAAATGCAGACTGGTCCTTAAAAAAGGCTGGAGGGGGAGAAAAGTGAGGAGATAAATCAGGAACACCCATGACCCATGGGGGAAGAGGAAGGTCTTCAGAGAGGAGGAATGTGAAGTGAAAGTGCTGAAGAGTGCAGATATTTAAATGTTTCTTTCAGTTTCTACACAGCAAAAGTGCAGTGAACAAGACAGTGATTAAGCCATCAGTGAACAAACTATTTACTGTAAATGAAAAAGTTTTAAAGAGTATAAGAGCTATGAAGAGCTTTTGGTGCTTTCTGGTCGGTGGGACATGTCTGTGGTGCCCATGACCACAACAAACCGAAGTCTTGTGATCTCTGTAGTGCTTGAAACAGCTTACATGGGATTTATGGTCCTGTATGTGTATTTATTTTGCCTCATGTAGAGAGAAACTTCAGCGCAGTGCAGAAGTGCAGCTCTCCAAAGAGCAAAAAATGACGATAGAACTGTGTGCAAGTAGAAGGGTAGAGTTCTAAGCCATTATTTCTAGCAGGCTGTAAATGTGTTCTTTTCTGCTGTAATATTGGTAACCAAGGTATGCAGAAGACCATCTCTGAACACACACATGAAACCATGAGGCAGCACAAGACCACACCGCACTGAGGCTACAGTTCTCATGGGCTCACCAAAACTGGACAATAGAAGATTGGAAAAATATTGCTCAGATGGTAGGGTCAGAATCAGACATAAAAGGATGGCTCCATCGTGCCTTCTATGAACAGGGGCCCGTTCTTCGTACCTCGCTAAGTAGGTTAGCTGGATTTGATTGTTGACGATTTCGCGTGATCTTGGATCGTTCGGTTCCCCGAAGCTCATCCGGGACTTGCTGCCATAGCAACAGAGCCGTAAGCGTAAACCTGCTCGGGAGCAGGTTTACTTTATGTAAACAGGATTAGATCGCGGCCACTCAGGTATGTCCGCTTCATTTATACAAAAGCAACAGCGATATTCCACCACTGTTTCACCATAAATAAATAACATCAATGTAACCAAAGATAATGCAGCACCTGATCCATTTATTGATTTCACACAGATACATGCAGGTTATTTCCTAAAAAAGGGAAATGTACTATTAACATTCTATTACATGTATGTGATTATTACAGATGTAATTCATATTTCAGAGTAGCAATTGCAAATTACTTCGTGTAATCAAGATGAGAGACCACGGCTATAAAAGCGAAGGTGGATTTGGGAAGTCTGTCGCAGCCATGTCCTGTCCGTTTACGCGAGCAGCCCATTGCGGAAGGTGCAAGATTGATAAGGAGAGTTTTCAGAATTCAGCGTATATTGCGGGATAGACAGGATCCTTTAGCTCAGCGTGACAGTGTGCTCATAGAGAAATATCGATATTCCCGTGAGGGTATTATTTACTTAACCAACTTGTTGACGAGGGGATGCAGGACCACCACCTGTCTTTGTTTGCTCTGCCCTTTTCTTGGTTGCTGTTATGAACAAACAAACAGATTATTTCAGGGTCTCTTTCCAAGAGACGAAAAGCAATATAAGTGATAAATATTACCATTCTGTAGAATATTCTTATATTTCACTTTTACTTGTTCTCATGTTCTAGTGGGTCCTGTTGTGGCTCTAATGTGAAAGGGGATATAATATAACATAATATAATATAATGTAATATAATATTGGATAATATAGTGTAATATAATAAATCTACCCTACCGCCTACTGGTGTTGGCCAGAGGGGCCGATGGCGCGATATGGCAGCCTCGCTTCTGTCAGTCTGCGCCAGGGCAGCTGTGGCTACAACCGTAGCTGCCTCCACCAGTGTGTGAATGTGAGAGTGACTGAATAGTGGCATTGTCATGCGCTTTGGGTGCCTTGAAAAGCGCTATATCAATCCAATCCATTATTATTATTATTATTAAATTACTTACGAGTTTAATTTGTCAGCAACTTTCTGCCAGCCCTCTCTCCTTGCTTTTGCAGCCTTTGCAGTGTTCCCTTGCGTTCTGATTAAACTCTGAAACTCCTGAAATCCCTCACTCAGGAGTTCTTGCTCTGCTGCCGAAAAATACCGAGCGCGCTCCTTCGACATTTTCGCCGACCAATCAGAGGGTTGCCGATCAATGTTTCTACTATCGATGCGTAGCCCCTTTTACGATACCCAGTGATCTCACATTACTTCATCCAGCTGTACTAATCGTCAACAGCAGGTGTGTTCGGGGAACCGGATTAGCGAGCTCACAGTTAGCGCGATGATTTGGTCTTGGATGTGTCATTTGATCTTGGATGTAGTAAGCGACGTACGAAGAACGGGCCCCAGTTCCGGCTGGTGGTGGTGTTATAGTGTGGGGGAAATTTTCTTAGCACAATTTGGGCTCCTTAGTACCAACTAAGCATCCTTTAAACACCACAGCCTGCCTGAGTGTTGTTGCTGACCGTGTACATCTCTTTATGGCCACAGTGTAACATCGTCTGATGTCTGCTCCCAGCAGGAATACACACTATGTCACAAAACTCAGATCCTCTCAAACTGGTTCCTTGAACATAGCCTCCACAGTCACCAGATCTCAGTCCAATAGAGCTCCTTTGAGATGTGGTGGAACGTTTGTAAGAAGATGGCGCTGGATGTCATGGCACGCCGTCTCTCGGTTCTGCAATGTTTATGTTTTATGTTCTTAGTGGTGTCCCTGCTAGTTTAAAAAACCCACTCCCTGTTGGTATATGAGTGTAACACGCGGCGACACTAAAGCGGTCGCGCCAGAATGTCACGCTAAAAAGAAAGATTCTTTAAAATACAAGGGGGAGCAAGCGAGTCAGAGTCGGGCACCGAGAGGAAGCAGGTCTGATCAGAAACAGTTTATTACTAGGTCAGGGAGCACAAATAAAAACACCCTTAAAGTGTAAGTAATAAAAGGTTGTCAATCTACTAAAACTAAATAAAACAATTCTAAAACCCATAAAACTACCATTTTCTACATTCACTAAACCCCCCCCCCCCCGCTATAATTATGCCACATGTTCATTATGGGTCCATCAGCAGGCCAGGAATTCCTTCTTTAGAGCAGAGTCCACGCCAGCCTCGTCTTCGGCAGACAAACAACAGTAGAGACACTACTCACAAATGCAGGCAGGGGTAAACCTCTGCCCTGCTGCCAATCACACACGCTGTCTCTCACTGTTGCCGTTCCATGAGGTCAGGACTGGGTCGCCGCGTCACACTGGCCATCTCGCATTAACCTTCCAGTCTGGGGCCTCTCTCCTTCAGTGCTCAGCTAGCCTGTTTTTAAAAGGTCTTTACACAGCTGATAGGCCACCTCTGGACACACCCCTGCCTCAGCAAGTGGTCCCTATCAGCTGTCCCATGTGCAGCCAGTCCACAGTGGATAAAAACCGTGTCACATAAAACACTAAAAACCATGCAATAGAAACAGAATAAAACCATGCAAATAAAACGACACTCATAAATAAACACTAAAAATCAGAATAAAAACAATATACAAGATAAATACAAATTTCCACTGTGTGACATCAGCGACAGACGCTGCTTAATATCTGTGACTCACTACTGAAGCTCCCCAGCGTTAGCGAGTGATGTGGAGGACTCCCGCCGCCTCTGGCGTCGGTACCGGAGGAACTGCATCGCCGTGATCCCCCTGGAATCCTTTGAAACGGACGCGCTGGAGAAGTGGACGAATGCGCGGCATGTGCTCTGGGAAGCGTGTTCGGGTCAGAACTTGGATGCAGCAGGTCCTTACCATCAGTGACTCTGGCTGTTTAGGACTTTATTTTGGCCTCAAACAGCGTTGCCTTCTTCCTGTTTACCCGACGTCATCAGAGCACGCTCACCCGAGGCTGCTTTATTGGTCGCCATGCCGACGGGATACGAGGGAAGGTGGAGCAAATATGAACAACCTACAATTACTGCCTGCTAGCACGGATGGACAGAGAGTTAAATTAGCTCTCTTAAACGCAAGATCTGTATCAAATAAAACTCATGCTCTTCGGGCTTTTTTGGTACTCATAAGCTGAATGTCATGTTCCTAACTGAGACATGGCTGCGCGCTGGTGAAGTGGCACCCTTGCTGGAACTTTGCCCCACCGATGCCAGTTTCTTCAGCTCCCCCAGGTTGTCTGAAAATTGTGTTTTACCTATTCTAGACCACTCAGCAATTTTATTTGATATTTTAATCCCTAAATCTCCAGCTTCTGAGAGGGGAAAATTGCCCCTCAGATCATCTCGTTATATTAGCCCCGAAGCATTGTTTGGAGTTAAATTACATCTACCTGATGTGTTGGACCCTATTTTTACTCAGGAGTTATGTGTGGACACCTTGACTGCGAATCTTAATAATACACTTCTTGAACTACTGGACTCTGTTGCTCCCGTAAAGAAGTTGAAATGTCAAAAAAGGAACCCTATGCCTTGGTTAAATGAGAAGCTCTTGAACTTGAGAAGAAATTGTAGAAAAGCACAGCATCACTGGAGATCTTCCAGACTAGACATATTTCTCCAGGCTTGGAAGGACTCATTATCTTCTCTTCAATCAGCGATATCGACAGTGAAAGCAAATTATTTCTCAAATCTCATCATGAGTCATAAACATAACTCAAAACTCCTTTTCAACACAGTGTCGCAACTTACAGAGAGTAAGTCAACTCTCTGCTGTTCTAATTTGATAGCTTATGACTTTCTTACATTTTTCAGAGACAGGGCTGAAACACTTAGAAATCGTATTACTCACTCTAGGTGTTCATTAGACTACTCAGCTGCTTTGCCTGTTGGTGCTGATAAACTGTTCTCTGACTTCAAGGTTATTTCTCTGTCTGGATTAACTAAGGTTGTAAAAGCAGTTCAATGTACAACCTGTTCTTTGGATCCTCTACCAGCCTGGGTTATAAAGGAACTGTGGTCAGTATTAGGACCCTTCTGTTTCTTTTAAATACTTCATTGATGACCGGAGTCTTTTCTGAATGTTTTAAATCAGCTGTGGTAGTGCCGATCTTGAAAAAGCCTGGACTGGATGTTGATATGGTCGCAAACTATAGACCCATCTCACATCTGTCTTTTTTATCTAAAATCTTTGAAAAAGTGGTTTTTAAGCAGCTCACTGAGCATTTGTCAACAAGCAATCTGTTTGAACCATTTCAGTCTGCTTTTAGACCAAATCACTCCACAGAAACAGCTTTAGTCAAAGTGGTAAATGATCTGCTGGTAAATGCAGACAATGATTGCACTTCAGTTTTATTACTGCTGGATCTAAGTGCTGCAGTTGACACTGTGGACCACTCCATATTATTGGATAGGCTTGAACATTTTATTGGAATTACAGGAAATGTTTTATCATGGCTGAGATCTTACCTGCTTGGGAGGTCTCAGGCTGTTAGTTTTAAAAATGGTAAATGGTAAATGGCCTGCATTTGTATAGTGCTTTACTCAGTCCCTAAGGACCCCAAAGCGCTTTACACTACATTCAGTCATTCACCCATTCACACACATTCACACACTGGCAATGGCAAGCTACATTGTAGCCACAGCTGCCCTGGGGCGCACTGACAGAGACTTGTGCAGTGAGGCATGAGGTCCCTCAGGGCTCCTTACTTGGACCATTGCTGTTTTCTATGTACCTGCTCCCTTTGGTGTTCTTTTACATTCTTTTAATGTAACCTTTCATTGTTACGCTGATAACCTGCAGCTTTATGTTCCTTTAACCACTGGAAATTGTGCTGAAGTCTCTAAACTAGAATGTTGTTTTTCTGCAATTAAGGGCTGGTTATCGGATAATTTCTTGCTCCTAAATACTGATAAGGCAGAGTTGATGGTCATTGGGCCACACAAATTTCATCACTTGTCCCAAAATTTCATCTTGAAAATTGATGACAGTGTCATAAATTGCAGGAACAAGGTAAAAAACTTGGGTGTGTGGTTCGACATGGTGCTCTCCTTTGAAACTCATGTAAAAGAGATAACAAAATCCGCCTTTTATCATTTGAGGAACATAGCCAGAATCAGACAAGTTTTGTCAAGCGACACTGCAGAGGTCTTCCCGTATTGATTATTGCAATGCTCTTCTTTCTGGCCTACCAAAGAAAAAGTTTTAGAAGTCTACAGATGGTGCAAAATGCTCGCATTTCAATAGGAACGGGGAAATTTGAGCACATTACCCCTGTTCTGAGATCTCTGCATTGGCTACCTTGTCAGGTTCGAGCAGATTTTAAGGTCCTGCTCTCACCTACAAGGCTTTAAACGGATTGGCACCTACATACCTCTCCAACCTTTTACACCTTTATGTTCCATCTCGTGCTCTACGATCTCAGGACTCTGGCCTTCTAAAAGTTCCTAGAGCCAGAAAAAAGACAATTGGAGAGCGTGCTTTTTCTTTTCGTGCCCCATTTCTTTGGAACAACCTCCCTCAAGATATTCGGCAGGCATGCTCTGTGGAGGTTTTTAAAACTAAGTCGAAGACACATTTGTTCACCCGATCCTACATGTCTTAATTCTATGGCTTTTAGTTTTTAATTTTTCATTGTTTTTAACTTGTATTGTGTCTTTTACCTGTATTGCTATGTATCACTTTCATTTTATTTATCTCTTTAGTTGTACAGCACTTTGTTTGAAAGCACTTTATAAATAAAGTTATTATTATTATTATTAACAGGAGACAGCTCTGCAGCAGCTGTGTGATTGTATCGTGTCAATATGAACTAAAATCTCTGAGGAAACTTTCCAGCTCCTTGTTCACATTTTCCTCATAGAATATAAAGTTTACTTGCACTTGCTAATATTATGATGCATACAAGCATTATGAGAGCTGCATTACATAGAAAATAATAATTTATTATATGTTTTTATGTGAAAGAAGGAAAATAGGATAAAGTGAATTACCTACAATTAGAGGATTCTGGTGTGAGGGGTCTTTTTTTTTTCTTTGCTTAATTTTTTTTGCAGAATTGCACATATGGTTGAAAAGTCTTGAATGCTTTGTGTTCATTTAATTTTTAGAGTTTCTAATAAATTGCTTGCACCTGACCTGACAACACTGTACAGTCTTGAGCATAAAACCTGTTTTGATATGTTATCGTGAAATCAGAGGTTCTGAATTTAGTTTGAAAACCAGCTTTGGGGTTCAGAGTTTTGAGAAAAGGACAGAAACTTTCCAGAAATGTGTCTTAGATTTTGAAAAGCGAAAATCAGATTCTCTCTAAATAAAAAGCACGAGGGACACCAAGTTCTTTGAAGTAGGAAAATATGTTACAAAATCTTTAACTGGTCTTTTATTGACAGGAATAGTTATTGAAGCAAGTGGGTGTTCACCCACTCCGGACCAGGTTATGTCTGCAGCATATGCTACCATGGTTATATACACTGATTTTCATCAAGGATCACCTCTGAAGTTACTCAAAGCCCACTTTCTGGCAGAGGCCTCTGTGTGTGTGATTGACTTTTGCCTGTATAAATGTGTTTTAGTGAGTGAGAGCTTCCTTAGAGATTTGCAAGAAGGTAAAATGAGACCTGCAAAATGCATCAAACTGGATGAAAACATTTAAGGTTTCATGATATGAGTGACTGATTACATAAGATAGATCAGACAAAGGAAGCACTTTTAAACTACTGCAGGATGATAGTCTGAACCCGACAGTGTTGCTGATCTGTCTCTGCCTCTCTATCAGTGCTCTCTGAGGACTGGGATCGTGTTCACACTGAGGACGAGCTCTTCAGGAGTTTGTTTAGAGGCTACAGCAAGTGGACTCGACCGGCGAAGAATGTCACAGACGTGGTCATCGTCAAGTTTGGCCTGTCCATCGCCCAGCTTATAGATGTGGTAGGAAATTTAACCATACCTTCAAAACTTTAAAAACTATTCCCCCTTTCTGTTTTGTGCCATTGCACCTACTAGGGCGTTAGATGCATGGCTCACTCGCTGTGTCCACTTCATTTACAAAAAACAGGATGAGAAAAATCAGATGATGACAACCAACGTGTGGCTGAAACAGGTGGGTGAAAACAAAAACTGGGTCTGAAAGTTAAGTAAATGTAATTCAAATGTGTTTTGTGTCCTAAAATGACATAAAAATGTGTATTCATTGAAAGGAATGGACGGATTACAAGCTGCGGTGGAGTCCTTCTGACTTCAACAATGTGACGTCCATCAGAGTCCCTTCTGAGCTCATCTGGGTGCCCGACATTGTGCTGTACAACAAGTAAAAACCACACGCATGATTCACGAGTCCACCCTTCTCCTCGTCCTCCTTCATCCTGTCAAACTCATCTTAAAATTCACTGAGAGTAGAGAAGCAATGACATCAGTCTATCCCAGGAGGCCAGGATTTGGGGGCTTAGCAAGGTAACCCCAGGTTAAACCCAGGGCTTTCAGCGTTACAGTGGTGCTCTTTACATCTTACCAGATTGCATCGCCACGGTAACTTGTGCTGCACGCCTAACCTTCTTAGGCACAAGTTATGTTTGAAATAAGAGGCTTGCAAGTGCAACACCACCTTCTACTGACCGGTAAGTTCTCTGGAGGACAGCATGTCTATTCCTTAAAGTGTCCTCTAACCTCAATGAGCAGATAACAGAGTAAACATTTTGAGAGGCAGCCTATGATCCTAAAAAATCCAAATACAGTTTTTCCCCCTCATTTCTTTATATTCTATTGGGAAAACAGAGTACTGAGCAACACATAAATACTTAAATATTTTTCACTAATAACAAATAGTATTTCTGCTTCTGGTGCCTAAATAATTATTTCTTGTTATTTCTTTAAATAGTCTTCAGGAATAGTTCTCCAGGCTTCTTGAAGGACATTCAAAGCTCTTATTTGGATGTTTCTGCCTTTTGTTCTGTTCTCTGTCAACATGATCCCACACTGCTTCAATAATGTTGAGGTCCGGGCTCTGAGGAGGCCAATCCATGACTGATAGTGTTCCACTGTGTCTTTTTCTATCCAGGTATGATTTTGCTGCACTGGCAGTGTGTTTGGGATCATTATCATGCTGAAAATGAAAAATGTTATAATAATAATAATGGATTGGATTTATATAGCGCTTTTCAAGGCACCCAAAGCGCTTTACAATGCCATTATTCATTCACTCTCACATTCACACACTGGTGGAGGCAAGCTACAGTTGTAGCTACAGCTGCCCTGTGGCAGAATGACAGAAGCGAGGCTGCCATATCGCGCCATCGGCCCCTCTGGCCAACACCAGTAGGCGGTAAGGTAAAGTGTCTTGCCCAGTTACCTGTTATCAGTTAAACATTTTCCAAATGGTATTATGTGGTAGATCAAAGTCTGAAGGTACTTTTCTGAGTTCATAATTCATTCATTTTGACAAGATCCCCAACACCACTGGCTGAAATGCAGCCTGAAACCATGACAGAGCCTCCACCGTGTTTTAGAGATGCCTGTAAACCTCTCTTGTTGTACCTCTCTCCTCACCTCCTATGTATGTATGTACTGATGATGAACCAAAGCAGAACCAAACATTTCAAATTCATCACTCCTGAAGACCGTTTGCCACAGTTCTTGTTTAATTTTCATACCTCAGCGTTTTCTCCCTGCTTTCCTTCATTAAGAATGGCTTCTGACAGCCACACTTCCACCGAGACCATTTCTGATGAGGATTTAGTGAACAGTAGATGGATCAGTTGAAGGCCCTGGTGCATCTCTCAGGTCCTGTGTCAGGTCTTTGCTGGATTTTTTTTTCCTGTTACTTAAAGACATGACTTTCAGATAGTGTTCATCTGCTGAAAATATGTCTGTATTGTATTTTTCGGGTCAACTAAAGAAATGGATGTGTTTTTGTGAAAGGCTGTTAGTAGCAAAGTGCCTAACGATTTAGTACAGCCCATAATCTTAATTTAGGACATTTTTTATATATAAAAACATATTCCCTCTGTGCAACGCACCAACATCATAAGAAACAGACTGAAGGTTTAAAACAAATAAATGAATTACATGCTCTGTGCCACTTCTCAGCCATGCAGATTATTTGTTTTCGTCGTTATGATTTGTGGGATGGTATTATCTCCTTTAACAACAGGTGTTCCAGATTATCCTCTCCTAAAGATAATAAAGGAAGAATTGAAGCATTGTCCTTCGTATTTACAGAGGTCGACCTGTTCTTACGACGCTTCCCATGCAGATATTTGCAGATATTTCAGGATCATTTCACTCAGTTTGAACCTTCTTGAAAAACTTGACTATTCAGCTACAACCCTTGAGTTTTCAACCACCATCATGTGACCCCTATCCAAAGAGCAAATAAGCCAGATAAAGATCTCTATAAACCCTGCAAAAAAACATCTGGGGGTAAATAAGGATTATTAACTCTTATTTTATTTGGATTTAAAATATTGAGTCACGCTCACAGCAGATGCTCAAGGACACACATACTGTTCCTGAACAGAGACGACTTTCTGTAGGTGGACCTGGAAATTATCTGTAGTGATCAATTAGCTGCTTGATCCATAACACAGTCCTCCTTCATTGAAGAGCGAAAGAGGAGTTGAGGTCACTTACATGGAGACAAACAGCTCCATGGTATTTTCTGCATTTTCCTGCATATCAATTGGCGATGCATGCAAATTATGCTGTTGAATAAATGACCCTGATTCTGTTGCGGATGCACGGTGATGTTGCATCACACAGTTTTAGTTGAGTTTCCAGCCCTCGGGGCTCGGGGGAGTATTAAAATTGGTCTGGATGGAGATGAAACTCTCTCCGCTTTCAGTGAAAATGAGCTTGCATCGGTGTCATTTACATTCAGCTATCAATTATTAAGCATAGCTCGTGTAAATGGGCATAGCTCCAGGTTTATTGATTCACCTTCTGAGTTTAAAAACTAATGAAATTAAAACTTTTTACCCTCTTTTCTTGTTAAAGTGCTGACGGGGAGTTCGCTGTCACCCACATGACCAAGGCACAGCTGTTTTACACCGGTCGTATCCGCTGGGTACCGCCCGCCATCTACAAATCCTCCTGCTCCATCGACGTCACCTTCTTCCCCTTTGACCAGCAGAGCTGCAAGATGAAGTTCGGATCCTGGACGTATGACCGTGCCAAGATCGACCTGGAGCCCTTTGAGAACACCGTGGACCTGAAGGTGGGAACACGTGGGTGGAGGTTGCTCTGCTTCCCCTCCCCCTCCACATTCCTCCCTCATACTCTCTTATGATTTCCTTCCTAACACCTCCTGCACCTCTTTACCTCCTCTTATCGGCTCTTCACATGTTTCACATGTGTTTTGTTTTACAGAAGAATGCCCGCCAAACTCTCAGGCTGCTAACATTTTAATTAACAAAGTATTTCCCAGCGTCATGTTTCACTGCAGTAATAGGTTCTGGAAAAATTCACAGAATAGTGAAAAAAGAAAAACCCCAAATCCTGGGGAGATTTCTGAGTTGTAAAACGTGGCAGGTTTCTTTAACTCTTTACCCCTTGGACACCTACTAGGACAGGGGTGGCCAACTCCAGGCCTCGAGAGCCAGTGTCCTGCAGGTTTTAGATGTCACCCCGGGTCAGCACACCTGAATCAAATGATTAGTTCATTACCAGGCTTCTGGAGAACTTCAAGAAATGTTGAGGAGGTCATTTAGACATTTCAATCAGCTGTGTTGGATCAAGGATACATCTAAAATCTGCAGGACACCGGATCTCGAGGCCTGGAGTTGGCCACCCCTATACTAGGAGGAACCCTTGAAGCTCTTTTCTGAACTTGGATTTAAAACATGGAAACTATTATAATGGCCTGCAAACTACATCTTAACTGATATACTGAGGTGTTAAAAGGTGTCATTATGGCTACAGGGGAGGTCATGAAATGTTGTCTTTATAGGGGAAAGAGTTAATATGGTGTGATTTTGAAGCACAGAATGCAGAAGTAAGTTTGTTTCTTCAGTTTGACTCCACATGTCTGCATTTGAGATCTCTATCCTGCAACACTTGGAGAGTACGCTGTAACAAAAGGCAGCACTATTTATACAGACAGATACACAAAGGGGTAATCAGGGGCATGAGGCACAGAGGGGAAAACAGGAACAGATAACATGAATGTGACAGGGAAAGTAAAACTAACTGCAACACACAGGAGACAAATGACTACCAAAATAAAAGAGGAAAGAACAATAAACAATAATCATTGTGGGGGATTATTCTCTCCAGTATCTTCATGACTTGTAAGGTCAGCGCAGCTGGCCTGTGGTCATTGGAAGTAGTTGGGTGAGATGTTTTTGTGGACAGGGACAAGACAGAATGTCCTTGAGAGAGTCAGGACCTTATGCAGTTTAAAACTCTGGTTCCTGATAAGACACAGCTGAGCAGCACAACTTTGGGGCTGATGCCATCAGGACCAGCCACTCTGCCAGAGTAGAGTCAAGACAACTCTTTCCTGACTTTTTCAGTTGAGAGGGACATGGAGGTGCAAGCTGTAGGTGCAAAGACAAGGGAAGGGGACAATGTTCATGAGATGAACTGTATGCTGGGTAAGGATGACCAGCAGGGGGAGGTGTGTCAAGCCAAGTGAAGTTTAAGTTGTTGGTACTCTTCTCATTCCACTCCAGCACTAAGTCCCTGCTTTGTTTGGGTCCTGTGAAGATTCTCAGTCCAACCCCTCCTTGTTGTTATTCTGTTATTTCCTGGCTTTCTCCTGTAACAGGCTTTCCCCCTGCTGCTTTAACTTTAAACTTCCTCTGCACAATGTCAGTGTGGCTAAAAAGAGTCTGACTTTTAGGGCTACTGGGAGAGTGGAGAATGGGCAATTGTCAACGCTGTAGGAACCTACAATACCAAGAAATACGACTGCTGTCACGAGATCTACCCCGACATCACTTACTACTTCGTGATCCGCCGCCTGCCGTTGTTCTACACCATCAACCTCATCATCCCCTGCCTTCTCATCTCCTGCCTGACCGTCCTGGTCTTCTACCTGCCATCAGACTGCGGCGAGAAGATCACGCTGTGCATCTCCGTGCTGCTGTCGCTCACTGTCTTCCTGCTGCTCATCACCGAGATCATCCCATCCACATCGCTAGTCATCCCGCTGATTGGGGAGTACCTGCTCTTCACTATGATCTTTGTCACGCTGTCAATCATCATCACCGTGTTTGTTTTGAATGTGCACCACCGATCATCAGAGACTCACACCATGCCCCGGTGGGTTCGGAGGCTTTTCCTGTCTGTGGTGCCGCGCTGGCTCTGCATGAAGCGCCCGCATCATGGACTCAGGCCTGCAAGGTGAGAAAGCCTCTATGACCATTAGAGGCACTGCAGGTTTTTACATGGTCATAAATAGCTTAGTGTAGTTGACTTCTACGTGGTCAAATGTGTATGAGTTGAAGTTTAGGATTGGCTAATTCAATCCAATTAATTAGCTCTCGACTGAGTTAGTGCGGTAATCCACACAGGAAACCACAAAATCTCTGCACAGGTTTATTGTTTTCATTATATGCTTGAACCATTTGGCTGATTTTAATACACATTGCAGAGAGATAACATAGCAGCCCCACCATACATTCACAGCCTCCAAACTCTACTTCTTTTTGTTGTTTAATTGTGGTTGGCAGACAGCTTCTAGGCATTTTACCACCACCTATTGGCAGTAGAAGTATATTGATAATTTGAGGTAGTGGTAAAAATAAGGGAAATATATAATTTAAGGTGACAGATAGTTGTAATCATTAGTTTTTCTGTTTTATATTTTCACAATGTTTTGCTTGTCGTTACAATGTCATTGTAATTTTTCTACAAACCCATCTACCTTTCTTAGGCAACACCACCTGAGCGATAAACTCCTCCCTCTCCAGACTCCGGGCCCCTCCCACAGCATCTGGATCACTCAGGAGTCTGATGTGGATGCTGGAGATGAAATTAACCACTGGGACTTTCATGGTTACTCAAACATGGAGCATTTGGAGAGGTTTGGGTCCCCATCTTGTCTTTCTGCTCGGTCTCTGGGCTATACACTCCTACCACAGACACGGTCCACTGTCAGCTTAGAGTGGGATACCCCTGTGGAGTGTGGTTCGACCCAGAACCAGTGGGACTCTTCTTTGTCTCCTGCTGTCATATCCGCCCTGGAGGGCGTAACGTACATCGCTGAACACCTAAGAGCAGAAGATGCAGACTTTTCGGCAAGTATTGGATTTTTTTGGTTATAGATTTGCGGTCAAAAGTTTGCATCAGGGGTGTCAAACATAAGACAGCCTGGGTTTTATATATTTCTCCAAGTTTACTGGCTCATTTTTGGTTTTATGTCTTCTCTCAGGTGAAGGAGGACTGGAAGTATGTGGCCATGGTCGTAGACCGGATCTTCCTGTGGATGTTCATCATAGTGTGTCTGCTGGGGACCGTTGGACTCTTTCTGCCTCCGTGGCTCTCTGGGATGATTTAAAACCAAGACTAGATGTTAAAAACACTAATATATTATATACAAAAGTGGAAGAGCATGGTTAGCTTTTAAATTTGTTGCAACAGACGAGTCTAGGAAACTTATTTCATGGAGGACAAAAAGTACAAAAATTAATAATAAAGAGAAATTAATTATTAATGCAAATATTTATAAAATGAAATGGCCTTGATGTATAAAATGGAATATACTTATGTTAATTAATAATAAATATTATAATCTGCTTTATTTATTCTCCATTGTATCTGTAATTTTCTTCACTCTCACATCTGCGTATGTGGTTCTGTTTGTCTGTCTGTCTGGTTGTTTACAGTTTTTCAATTTTGTGTGATGGTAGATAACAAAAACAACTTGAGCTAAATTACATTTTAGTGAAATCTGGTGAAAGTCACACTGAATGTGAAAATCATTGAAAACATTATATTACCCACAATTTTTTTTGTTGATCGTCTTCAAAATTCACAATAATATACTCAGTGTTGGGAAAGTTAGTTTTAAAATGTATTCCACTACAGAATACATGCCTCAAAATGTATTTTGTAACGTGTTACGTTACTCAATGAGAGTAATGTATTATGAATATTTTGGATTATTACTATATTATCATGCTTTTTACAACTACATGAATGTACTATTGCTGTGTGATTCATTACTATTACTGAAGGTTACTCGCCATACCAATAGCAACTAGATTTTAAAATCTGAATATAAAATGAGTGACAGTAGGGTGGACATTATATTCATCCATCTCTCTGTGCCGGGCCGTTGTGTCAGCATGGTGTTGCAGGAATTGCCGTCTTGTGTGTGACTGGGTGCAGTAAGGAGTGTATGTGATGTGTGTGTGAGCATGCGCGTGAAGGAAACGCGGGGAGCGAAAGAGAAAAATAGAGAGAGTGTGTCATGGGTAGAGAGGGCGACCGGGAGCAGCGTTCTAACGGGCTACAGGCTATGCAGTGTGTTGTCGAAGTGTGCAGTACTGTTATTAAAGCCTCATCTCTTCAGTACTCTCCGGGGCCTCGGCTGATTTCTGTCTGTCTCACTACTCCACAAAAGTGAAGGGAGTTAACCCCGAAGGAGGACAAACTTCGGCCCTGGAGGAAACATCTCCCCTCGCGTCTCCCGACCACGGTCAGGGGACTGACGGCGAGGAATGGTTAACAATGGTATAAAATCACAGCGATCACTCAGTAGCACTTACACCCACAACAATGAAACGCTTTGAAAGACATGATCACAGAACCTCCATTGTACCCCGTCACCCCATCACAAACCGTTCCACTGATAACGCTGTATCCACTCCTCTTCGATTAACCCTGGAAGACCTGGAGAAGGAAAATGCACAGGTCTGAAAGGTCTTTCTTGACTTCAGCTCAGCCTTCAACACGATAATCCCTCAGCATCTGATCACCAAACTAGGCCGAGTTGGACTGAATCACCCCCTTGGAAAAATGGACACTGGTCTTTCAGACGGATAGACCTCAATTTGAGCAGAGAGTACATAAGAAATCAAGCACCATTTCATTATGTACAGGCTCTACAAAGGGACATGTCACGAATCCCCCGTTTTCACCATGATGACCCACCTCTGTGGTGAAAAGTACAGTAATCACTACATCACAAATTACGTGGATGACACAAAAGTGGAACATCTCATCAAAGACAGCAATGACAGAGACTACAGGAGGAGGTGAGACTTTTTGCAGAATGGAACCTGTTTTTTTTTTGGGTTTTTTTTTGTTTTTTAATCTGGTGTTCAAAAGCAGCCCATGCACAGCCCGATCTACATAACTGACATTGCTGTGGAGATAGTCGAGTATGTGACCAACAATCTAACCAGGAGCCTGCACATCTCCTCACCAGCTCCTGCATTTTCCTCAGAGGTTAAAAATAACTCATCTTAACCCATCTGTCATCACCACTTTCTACTGAGGCACCACATAGAATGTGCAGCACACTGTCTGTGTCTCTGTGGTATGAGAGTAACGGTGTCTCAGACAGAAAGGCAGATTGCTGAGAAGATTGTTGGGGTCTTACTGCCACCTGTTGGGGGCTTAGTGCAACAACGCTGCCTGACAAGGCCAAAAAGGATCACGAGGGACATTGCTCATCCCCGTCACAGACTATTCTCCTCCCTTCAGGCAAAAAGTATCACAGCCTGGAAATCAGATCATTAACAGCTTGACAGTTAAATTCAAATGCACATCATAAATAGATGGAAAATACAATAGCTGAGCACACGTAAGCCATACAGATTGTTTTCGTGCATATATATATATATATATATATATATATATAATATATATATATATATTTTTTTTTTTTATTTAATGTTCTTATTCAGTGCTATACCATCTTTTTTTATTACTTTATTTCATTATTCATTGTTTAACAGAAAGTTATACTATAGTCTTTTAACGTGGTTCTGTTTTGATTGTGAGATTTTTTGTGTTTTTGTGTGCTCATAATGACAATAAAGGAATCCAGACCTTTGTCAGCATTGGATTTATAGCTACACCAGTAACTAGAAGGAACAGTACGAAATAGTGGATGCTTTGGAAACTTTTATGATATGAAGTGATGTTCTCACTCTTTCTCAAGTGTAAGTCACTCTGAGGTAAACTATATTGCCAAAAGTATTCACCGAGCCATCCAAATCACTCAGTTCAGGTGTTCACATCACTTCCATGTTTAAAATCAAGCACCTACACATGCCTAGGCATAGCACAAAGTGGTAGAGCATGATGCTCACAGAGGTCGCCAACTTTCTGCAGAGTCAATCACTAAAGACCTTCAAGCTTCATGTGGCCTTCAGATTAGCTCAAGAATAGAGAGCTTCTTGGAATAGGTTTCCATGGAAACAGCTGCATCCAAGCGTGATGCAAAGCGTCGGATGCAGAGGTGTAAAGCACTGCACAACTGGACTCTAGCACAATGGAGATGTATTCTCTGGAGTGATCAATCACATTTCCCCATCTGACAATCCAATGGACCAGTCTGGGTTTGGTGGTTGCCATTGGACCAGTATTTGTCTGACTGCGTTGTGCCAAGTGTAAAGTTTGGTGGAGGGGGGGAATATGGCGTGGGGTTGTTTTTCAGCAGTTAGGCTCGTCCTCTTAGTTCCAGTGAAAGGAACTCTTAATGCTTCAGCATACCAAGACATTTTGGACAATTTCAGACTCCCAACTTAGTGGGAACAGTTTGATGATGGCCCCTTCCTGTGAGTCCTCACCTTAACTTGAAAGAACACCTTTGAGATGAATTAGAGTGGAGACTGTGAGCCATGCTTTCTCATCCAGTCTGTGACCTCACAAACGTGCTTCTAGAGAAAAATTTCCCCAAACACTCCTAAATCTTGCGGAAAGTCTTCCCAAAAGAGTTGAAGCTGTACTAACTGCAAAGGGAGGGCCGACATCATATCAAACCCTATGGATTAAAAAAGGGATGTCACTCAAGTTCAAATGTCTGTAAAGGCAGACAAGTGAATGCTTTTGGCAATAGAATGTATTAAATGTATTAGTAAAACCAAGTGGTAGACCTCCGCAGGGACAAACATCCTCCACTGCATCCACTAAACATTCAAGGCATGGACATTGAGGCTGTGGACAGCTACAATAAACTGGACTGGACTCATAATTCAGATGCCCTCTACAAGAATAGGCCGGGCAGGCTGTACCTGCTGCGGAGACTCACCTCTTTTGGAGTGAAGGGCCCAGTCCTGAAGACTTTCTAAGACTCTGTGGTGGCCTCAGCCATCTTTTACTGTGTGGCCTGCTGGGGCGGCAGCATCTCTGCTCAGGACAGGAAGAGACTGAACAGGCTTATCCGGAGGGCCAACTCTGTTCTAGGATGCCCTCTGGACTCAGTGGAGGTGGTGAGTGACATCACCACCCCATGCAGGAGACTGCACTGAACAGCTGAACAGCACTGAACAGCTCCTTCAGTGGCTGCGGCACCCACGATGTGGGACGGAGAGATTCCACAGGTCTTTCCTCCCCACTGCTGTCAGACTCCACAACAAAGACTTCGCAGCTGACCAAACACACACATCCACACATGTGCAATTTCATTAAGTGCAATTCTCTTTTTCTGACAGCATTGTATTTTATTCTGTTGTATATAGTATTTTATTCTATTCTATTGTGTATCTTATTATCTTATCCTATTCCAGTGTTTATTCTTAATTTTTGCTACTGTGACCTTGCACTGTCCACTTTCTGCTGTAACAAAACATATTTCTCAAGTGTGTGACTAAGTTAATGTATCTTACCTTATCTTATTATGGGTTTGGATTTTGACTGCCAAGAAACAAACAAAAAGTTTTGGGCTTTTCTTGCACCACAGTTAAAGTGGAGGGAGGACAAAAACAGCAATACTGTTGTTAATGTCTTCAACTACTTCAAACAACATTAACTTTGTTCTTGTCATACTGGAGCTGGAAACCCATTTGATACTAAAATCAAAGCTGTACCAACCAATATCAAGCCTCCACCCATGACTTCAGTGTTGCCAGCACGTTAACAACCATTACTATCCAACCTACAGATGGCTAGATCTACATCTCTATCCACATTTGTTATATTATTGTACTCAACAAATAGCAGTGGATGCATGTCTGATATTCACTCAGGTGGGACTACTTTTGATTTTAGAACATGACACATGGGAGAAACGTGACCTACATCAAATTGTTTATTTATTTTTGGTAGAATAAGTAGGCCTGATAGATTTCAGATTTGTAGTCTAATCACATCTATGGTTGTAAGGTGTAAATGAGATACAGAATTGTGCACTGAAAACATGGTACCACAGGTATTTGTGCAAACAACATGGAATTCCTATAACGGAGGAGGTAACACACATTTCTTGAATTCTCTCTGAACGTCTGGGCAGAACGTTCTGCCCAGACGTTGGGGATCCCCATTGTCATTGGGGATTGACCTTGGACCTCAGCATTATCAGCACCACACTCTAACCATCTGAGGTAGCAGGCCAACTGGATCAGGACTTAAACACTTACAAGAAAAACCACAAACATTTTTGTGTACTACATTCAGTTTTACTTACCTTGTCTCCTCAATCTGATTTAGTTTAAGTGTGTTCCTCAGCTGTGTCTTCAGCCATCAGTGTCTGTGTATTTAAAGCCTCAGTTTACCTTAACTCTCTG